CACTCCTTCTTACTGATGGGAAACAAACAAACGATCCGGGGACAGACCTAGAAGAAGCATCTAAGCCTTTACACGACGCAAAGGTCGTTACGATAGCCGTTGGTATTGGCAACAGCGTGGAAGAAACTGAACTGAAGAAGATAGCTAAGAGCAAGAACGATGTGGTTATAACTAAGAACTATACAGACCTGCAAAATAAACTTCTGAGCATAATCAGCATTGCCTGTGATGAGGGTAAGTCCATCATATATTAACTCTTTAAATTCACAAGTGATCAATCAAGAAATTTTCTCATAAAATCAGAACACTGTTTGACAAACATGTAGTAAGAATAAAGACAGTGTTCAAAAGGGGAATGTGAATTCTCAACGGTTATTGCTTGAGGGAAATTTTATACATATTGAAATGGAATTTATGAGAGTGTCACAAACATAATTTCTATAGTCAGAACACTCCCCAAAAATTTAAACAAATGTTGTGAACTATTTCGTATTTTCTTGCAATTTCGATAATCCTTTAGCCCGAGGAGGGTGAAATTCGAGACGCCCCAACAACTTACCATTCTGGGCATGCCAAAGCAATTCTTTGTTAAATGCCCGATCGATCTAAAGTTTGAAACGCGGGAAAGATGATCATCATAATATGCCAAACCCTGACTATTTCATGCATTCGCTTTATATTGAAAGATATGTGATAAGGCAGTATCGAATGTTTCTTGTTCTTGGAATCTATTTTTATGCAGTTCAAGAAAAAATTTTTAGATAAACGAACAGAGCTCTATATATAGACTACAAAATTATACGGGAAAGTACATATGTTTGTACCACGATTTTTCCTTGGCGTGCCTCTGAAATTCATAATAAATTCTCAATCTTAAAACAACAATCTATGAAAGAAAAGAGATTAAGGAAAATCCAGAGAGGATGGCAGATCATTGATGCAAAAATGTTGGAGATATTGCATCATTGTTTGACCTCTTCGTAGGTAACTGTGCTTGCTTCAGCGGCTCATCATATATTACCGTTGAAAACTACGAGGATGAAAAGGCCCAAGAACAAGACGACATCCACTTTGAATTCAAGAGCTCCAAGCCGTTTGGAACAATCATGTTCGTTAAGGGTACCTATGACGACCAAATTCACGTGGAATATAATCATAACGACGAGCTGACGTACCTTGTGGACCTCGGAAAAGGTAAGGAGATTTTGTAACCGAGATGTAATCGACCGAACTTGTATTGTATGAGATTAAATAAACATTAAATATATATTTGCATGCGATCCACTCTCAGCAAATCGTTCTTAGAGCAACTTAGAAAAAGAAATGAGAAGAAAAAGTACTGATTTTAAAGAGCTTGAAACAAGATGCTTCAACTTTCAATTTTAAAAACTGGTTGACGTGGTCACTGTGATTTGTTTCCAGGGAAGAGAAAAATAATGGCAAAGGGCGTGAAGCTGGACGACAACAAATGGCACACGTTTCGACTTGAGCGAGTTGGACGTTCGTTCAACATAACCATCGACAATGCAAGTAAACCACAAGGTATAAGAGATATAGTTCATGTTATGAGGTCTAGTCAACAAGTTTTAAAAAAATAACATCAAGCGTAAGCCCTTTTGACGCTTAGTTTTCGTTTTTCACTGATGCATAGATTCGAAAGGTCTCCACGAATCACTATTGTTTATCCTATCATCCAGACAGAAATCAGTTGCTATGATTTATTCAGACTTTTTAAATAAATTTCTTCATTGGAGAAGCGATTAAGAATAAAGAACTGTTTCGAAAAGATCGTGTTAGTCTGTATTTCTACTTTCGATCAGCAAACTGATCAGCGTCCATCGTGTTCGTGCCGTAATGTAATTGTGCATGAATGCATTTGAACATCAACAACACGTGTCTCAAGAACTGATCGTTGATCTGATCTGAACTGTCTGATCGTTGTAACTCAGCACTTGGTGCAGATGTTAATTCTGTAATAATACATTTCACTTTCAAATTTGATCTATTTGAAATAGTTGTATTTGTAATCTTTCAATTTTTGCATTGTCATGCATTTTATACATGAGTCTTGGGATCAGATAGAGAAGATAATGATTGAATATAAATCAAGGGATTTCCACGAAGTAAGAGATTGTATCTTACTCAACCCATTTTAAATAGATCGGTAAGAAACAAACTTCTGCCTCATTTGACTCTTTTCAGTATTATTATTACTATTATTTTTTTCAGCTATTGGAGAAGTTCCCGGAGAATACAACCGTCTCGATATACCAAAATCAAAGGGTTATTTCCTGGGCGCGCCGAATTTTCCAAATTTTATTGGCTGCATTCGGGATCTCAAGGTTGATGGAGAAGCAATAATTGCAAATGCTGTGGGGGGAGCAAGCGGCTACTCAGTTACAAACAAGGATGAAATGAAATTATGCACCGAAAGTGACCAAGAGTAAGACTAAGCACTGCCACAAGGCAATTGATTTTAAAGTAAACTGAGAATATGTAATTGTAATTGTAAATGTAGCCGAAAGACAAGTGATCCAGCAGGAAATTTGTTGCAATTGTGCATGATTCTTTGCAACGAAAGCAATGTAATAAAAGCTACTAATCTATGCTATGATTTGATTGTTGTAAATAATTCATTTAACATGATCAAGACTACAGGTATATGCCAAATTGGCTTATGATATTGGCTCAGCGGTTTTTTTTCTTGAGTCGCGAACAAGGTATCAACGTGGCGGTACTTGGTATGCATGAGTGGCACTCAACTATTTCTAAATCTTAGCAATTTGTTAGTAGTAACTTACTTGATAACGTGAATTGGCCTCTGTAAAGAGTTTCCAAGCTTTGAAACTATGCACTAAATTACTCTGTTATACTCTCCCACCGACGCAGCACCACAGTTTCTTTAGAAAATTGCCCTCTTTATTTATTTTTAAATCTTGTTATGAAAATTCTTCACTTGCAACCATTTACACGACTTATTTCTTAAAAGAGAAGCGAGAATTTTCTCACTGGGACAAGGTTAAGAGGCCTCGGAGAGCCTCCCCTCCCCCCTTTCTCCCCTCCCCCTCCCCTCCCTCTGTCCCAAGCACGGCCCAGAATATCTCATACTCTTCTATAAGTTCAGCTGTTTTGGTTCCCATATCCTCTTCAATTAACCTTTAATAGTTTTTTTTTCAGTGAATTGCGTGATGTATGAAAACTGTCCGGATGTTTTATGTTTTCCTTTTGACAATTTTTTTTCTAATCCTAAAGCAGAAGCTACAAATCAGCGCTCTATAAAACTCATGAAAAATAGAACAAGACTTACATTTTTCTAAAGGGATCGACTGATGTAAAAGATTAAAATTTGCTGTACAGAAGAATGATTGATTTTTTTTCCATAAGTGCCAAGGGATATTTAAAAAATTGGACAAATAAACTAGTTTAGCAAACAAAGATAAAACATTCAACACATTTCGATTTCCTTGCTGTTCATGTTCAGGATTTTTTTTTTTTTTTTTCATTATTATCATATTTCTTCTTTTTTGTGCTTTGTTTTGGATCATTCTTTAATTTAATTTCAATTTAATTTTTCACCGGATATTTGTATATAGCAGCCAAAGGATAAGCATAGACGTCAAATCTGTGGAACATCTCAGAGAAAAAAACTGATAACTTTTGTTGTTTTGAAACGCTGCAAAAATCACTTCCACGCTTTATTTATTTTCGTTCCCCACGGATTCCTAACTACCTCCTGCTGAGGAATCAAATTGGAATCCATTACACTGGGCGTGATAGCTAATTAGGTCAAATGCATTTAGCTCGGTGATTAAAAATGTAAGAAAAACATAAATATTGAAAGAGAAGCGGAACTCAGAGGAGCAGAATTACAAGAGATATGGGAAACTGAAATTCATCGAGTAGCTATCACAAGAGGCATCCAATAGAATAAAAATTGTTGGTATCTTTCGTTAATTATCAGTTAGATCCCAGTTATTGCTGTTCAGTAATTTTGATTTTGTAATTCCGTTTACAGAGGATGAATATTTATCAGCTTATATTTCACTGATATTCCAACCCGAAATCAATATTCCTCCATTGACAGCCTAGGGCTCATGTCACATAAGTTTTGGACGATGATAAATAAAATTTTGTTTTCGGAGAATCCTTTTTTTGTTTATTTTTTTCCTAATCTAAGAAATAGTTCGGTCCTCAGTTGCTACTGGTGCTTAGTGCAATTTAATTCAAGAACCGAAGGAGAGCTGTTGGACTTCTCTAAGAAAATGATCAGAGATAAACATATGCAGAATGTGTGCGACAAAATTACTTCATTTGCAGAATACAGCAAAATAACAGGGAGGAATGGAATGTTCTCCAATTTTTATCTTCTTCCTTCTCTAGATGGCGAAAGTTTGTACTTTGGCCTCTTGACTCAGATTCTTGTGATTGAAAGAAGAAGGCGTGGATTGTGGGAAGAGGTTGATGACGCTTGCGTGTAAAAGGGGCGAAGTTCATGATCAATTTTTGTGTCCTTTCGGAGTCACGGGCTACTGATTAAGTTTATTCAGCTTGTAGATCAAGAATACAACTCCCGATCATCATAGTTATCCTACATCAAGACGTTGTTAGTGATTGTTAGTGATTATGATCAAGTATTCCGACCGTCTGTTTGATTGCATGGAAGTCCTGTTCAGCATGGCAGTCCTGTAAAATCAGCTAGTGCGCTTGTTAGCTTGAGTTAATCTTTTCTGGTTTAACAGCATTTTCTCTTCCCTTTAAAGTTCCAGAAAGGTATACTTTTTTGAACACCAAGTAATACAGGTTATAATTAGATTTGAGTGTTTCCTGTAAGGAAGAAAAAAAAAACAATCTGAAGACTGGCTGAACCTGACCAAATTTGGAAACAAATTGCTTTTCTAAACCTATAAGTACACTTCTATGTCATTCAAAGTCTGTGATAAGCTTCAAAAGATTCAAAACAAAAAGACAAGACCATAAAAATTTGTGATTTACATAACAAAACATTTAGTCTGCCGTGAGCCTTGCCCGTTGCTCGAGTTTTGACCCCGCTTTCCGGTAAGTTTCATAACGCCCTCATCACTCCAGAAAGTTCAATTTGGACTGAAAGTTATATTTGGTGTTAGTTGTTTAAAAGTACCCGAAAAGAGCCGTGAAGAAAGAGTTCATTCAGAGGCTGACACGACAAGACAATTTAGCCTTCAGACGTTTGGAGAATCTGTGGTGAAGCCGATAAAAGGTTAGTACGTAGTCTTACTAATGTTTAGTGAAATCGCTATTGTTTTGCCCTTCATGCCTTCAGTTGAGTAATATTGGTTGTCAGTAATGATCGCGTCTCTAAGTTTCCTGCGTATCCTGTAGTATCCGACTGTGGTAGATCTAGTTAGAGCATTGTTCCTCTCTCATATGTCGAGCTGAATAAACAAACTTGTGTCGATAACAGAAATCCTAGATTACTCTAAAGATGTTTCTGGATGCCAAACTAGTTTGTCGTTGTCTTTCCGCGGGACAAATAAATTTTAAAGGGAAGCATGTCAGCAAGGGCGTTCCTACACCATCCTTCAACCAGTTAGAATTTATTCATAGTGCAGTTGTTTGGTAGAATGCTTTAAAAATTTTAATCTCCAAGAACTCACTACACTGTAAAGTTGACATTTAGTGTTTAGGAAGTTTTATGGCTGGATTTGTTGCTTACGAAAACATCACCGGGTTTAATAATTGTAACTTGTTATTCATCGCGTTGTTTTTAACTTAACTGCGTGGCATCTGGTGTAATGATAGTACCAATAACAGAAATTTGAATATAAATGACACTAAATGAACCCTGAAGTAAAGATCTATTTACGTCAAGAGAAAATAATGTTTAACTGCATTTGATGCTATTTAATTGCGTAACGACTCCATAAATCTCTGTACTGCACTCGTACTGTGCGAGTTTCATTAAGTTTTTCACATTTGTATACGAATCCCCAAGCTGGGTTCGATTTTGTGTAATACTGTAATCTCGTAATAACTATGCTGTAAAGGTTAGTATTATGGCATTCAAAGAGATCATTTGTTCATATCTTCTCTAAACAATACGCTAAAGTTGCATTGTTTTGGCCTCAGGGTGAATTTCAAATTATATAACTTTCTCGCATCCCACTGTCACCGTCGTGAAGTACTCAAAGTCAAATCAGTATAAAAATATTTTTTGGTGTCATTGACAAGGCAATATTTTGATCAGACAGGGACACGCGAACAGTTTCGGACTTCAATGCTTTTCCTAACAGATCCAAAGTATAGATTTTTGCGCCAGGACATTTAGTGTACAAAGTTAGGTTTCATTTTAGATTTTAATGCCAAACTTTCATTTCATGGCCTTGCTACTATATTCTTGTTATAAAGTTCGTACTGAGTTGTCGAGCTTTTACAGAAAAACTGAGGTTATATGGCGTGACAATGATAATTTGTCATCTCTTTCACTGCGTTATTTCCGGCTTACCGTGTGCCGCTGTCTGACTAGTATGAATTTCCTGTCAGCTCATGAGCATTACGCAATTGTAATCAAACCTGGAGTTTGTTTTGGGTGCATCCGTTCGAAGGAAAGTTCTGCTAACTAGCGGGACACGTTTCGCCCTTCAGTCTCACTGGTCAGTCATTTAATTCATATTTGTTAATTATTTTAAGTATATAACGACATATCTATGCTTCTGCTCGAGTCTCATTTTTTCTTTGCTTTTGTTTTTTTGAGAAAACATTCCTGCACGGAAACGAGTGATATTAAAATGAGGTGATCATAATACTGAAAACTTTCTATGAAACATCTCCTTATAACGTCAATTTTAGGACTAGATAATTTGGCTCTATCAACTGAGTTGATGATGTATCTATAGGCCATCTTGCAGAGTTTCAGAGTTGACATTTTGAGGGTTAGCCCTTCGTCAGAGCGAAATTTTACGACTCGTTTGATATTCAACCTAAAGTCGCAAGACCAAAGCAAAAATGGCTGAAAATCTGAAGGAAAAACTACATGTCTGTGTTTGTGTTCACTTAGAGCGCCATGGTCAAAAATGAATTCTTTTAGAGTCATAGATGGGAGGAACGTTTTAACGCTAGAAACAAATGTACTTCCTCTTTACTTTACTTAAAATAGCAATTACAGGGGTGCCAAAAAATTAAACTTATCTGTAGGGAGTGTGTGAGAAATCCACCTGACTGAAAGTAATATCGGGGGTCATTTCTTTCTATAATGCTGATGTGGTTGTACGTACAACAAACTTGATCGTGTGGGTGAAAGTGCACTTGTAACTTGATACCTTGTTCGGCCTTTGTACGAAGATCAAAAACAAATGGAGCTTGGAATATAAATAGAAATTACGACGCCTTTCTGTTTTTATAATTCATTTTGTGGAACGAGATGATTTTCGCCTATTTCAATTGGTATTCCTCAGTAGCGAAGTCTCAAATAGTTTTTCGTAAGTTTTCATTTAACTTTTTCAGCATCACTTTCACTAAAAAAAACTTTAGTTAAGTTGAAACCGGCTATCAAAAGATGATCCATGTCCTCCTAAACTATCTTATTTATTTCTATTGCACCCCATGAAAACATTACTAGTTCGGTATCCTTTACAGAAATAAGCTTATTTACTCTTCCGCCGAAAGTTCAAACAACGCTATTTTTCTCCGCGCCCGCTGTGTCTGAATGGAAGAACAGGAAATTCTTGCTTTTTTAGGAGACTTTAAGGAGCCAGTCGCATAGTTGACGCTTGTACCATGGGAGAGGATGGGTGGGCCAGTCGCATAGTTGACGCTTGTGCCATGAGAGAGGATGGCTCCTATGGTCCACGACTCAATGTTTTTCGAAAATTGATCCGGATTTAATGCGCTTACTGGTGTGCATGGCAGCAACAAATTTCATCAGTTTTTGTCTTTTCTGGGTTATCTTATGTATCGTAAAATAGGTGTGCTTTGGGGTTTTTATGTTGTTGACAATTTTGTAATGCAGCCGCAAGAATTAAATTCCAGCGTTTCGCTTCGGGGGAGGAGAGGGGTGCCAACACCCGAACAACATGGCAGTAATTAAACAATGACATGTTTCAAGACTTGTATAGACTATCGCTATTTCACAAAATGTTGATTTACAAAATTTTTACAAAAAATTCCTACCATATTTAGTAATTGGCACTGTCAATTACTTTTTTTTTTTAGCCAGCTCGGTTTTAGAGTTTCTTTAAGAGCCGAAAAGTAGGTATACGCTTTAATTAATTTCATTAATTAAACAATGAAAGCGAAAAAAAGGTTATGCCATATAATTCCTACAAATGTAATGTAAAACTATTTTACATGTGGTACAGTTAGCAAATCCACGCCAAGATTAAGAGCTTGTTGCCATCACTGCGATTTTGTTACAGGCGCTCCTTGATAAAATCCGCTCAGCACGAGAAGAATAGTGAGGTGCAGTTACTGAAAGATTATGAGATAAACTGATCTTTCTTTCACTTTGTGCATTCCCTCTTCAGAAATATCAACAACTCGCGTGGTGGTCGTTTGAAGAGTGGTGCTTTCCTGTTCACGTTATAATTGTTTCACCGCAAAATATGTCTTAATTCTCGACCAATCAGAGCGCGTATATCCTCATAACCACCTTACCTAAGAAATCAATAAACATTAATTTTTCGCATGAAGTAACTCCACAGCGAACTTGTTCTTTCCAAAGAAGATTCACAGATTTTTGGTTATTTCTTGAGAGAAGCGTTTTTCTTTCTTTCTTCATCTCTTTCATTCTTCCTCTTTTTTTCTTCCTCTTTAAAACTGGACAACAAAAGGCTATTTCATGCTGGAAAATACTTCGGAAAAGCCATATGCTCGCCGGGCTAGCGGACGAATGATGGATATCATTGCGGCTTTGGTGATTTTTCTTGATGAAAGTTAGTGAAGGAAGAGTGAGAAGACTATTTTCATTTAGGTCAGGTCGTCTGTGGTTTCTAGGTATTTATGCTTTTAAAATCATCTCACTGATATTGTATATCGTCGAAAAATTCTCTTCATTTAATTGGCCATAACTCCAACTCTTCATCTCTATGGTTTTTAATGATTATTGTAAAATCATACCACGGAGCAGCAAAATTGCCTCCTGAAATTAACTACAGTGTGTTTGGTTTCAATTAGCGCTCGTTTCATGATCGGCTTCTAGTCTTTGAATGAGATGTCTTTGTTAAGAAACCATGGGTAAACTTTTTCCATCAGTTTGTTCTAACCTACGATACTGTGCAATCAATCTCGAATAAGGATTACGCTGATTACACGAATAAAAATGTCTTTGAAGCCTGAATTCTACTGTTAGTCTGATGCATTCTCATTGAAAGTAGACAAATTTAACAGTGCCACTTAGATTCATTGACAGATGCAAAACAACTAACAGCGTTTGTCGCGTTCATATTGAAAATAAGGAAAATAGCTTTCTTTGCTTGCTCCTTTAATCCTTTAACTCCCAAGATCTCATTAGTAATTCTTCTTACTGTCTACCATATAGTTCTTGTGATGTCAGTTTAGAGAATTTGGTATTGGATCAATGAATAATCCCCTAATTCATATTTTTCTTTATTCTCATCTCTTGTCTGCTTGATATTGTAATGATGCTGGAAGGAGAAATTCTGTCTTGGTCACACATGGTAATTAAAGGGTTAAGTTGTTCTGTCCTAGTTTAAGGTGATTTGTTATATCCTGGCAAAAATCAAACTAATGACAGCCCAACACGAAAGCTTTTAATTTGACGGTCCCCGTGTGAGGTATTTTCACTCATGATCATTTCTCTGTGAGAGGCCCGCAGAAAAACATAAATGGTTCATGTCATAATGATCTGTACTTCCTTTGGCCCCTTAACCGATGGTTAAGTAAACAGTTAACAATATATTTGAATACGTTCGGTCAGGAGATTTGTGTGATGCCTCAGGGTTGATGAGTAAACAGTCGGTGCCTAACACAAGATCGACACATCACACTTTAATGCGGTTGGTGGCTGGCAGAGGAAACAATCTGAACATGGATTTCTCTTTAACCTAAAACTCTCATCATCGTTGCTAACATTAGGGAGAAGTACTAGATATTGAGCTTAGCTCGTGTCAAGTTTTCCTGTGAGATACAAGACTGCAGCAAATTATCAAGTGGTTTCTAAAGAAATGGTTGTACTCAGTCTGGAGGGATCATTTTGATCGAGCTGGCTGAAGTAACAATTTTCTTTGAAATATTATCTTAATGTGGGGCTCAGAAAATTTAATTAACTTAGTTAAACAGGAAATCATACGGTCAATATCCCGGGTGAAAAATTACAACACCGCATCACGTAATACTTACAAAGATTTCTAGTACAGTATCTCTAAATTGCCAAAAAAAAAAAAATACTGTTCGATATTGTGAGTGTGCGAAAACAGCTCCGAGAGAAGTGGATTTCAATCGGATGACAGCTTTTACGTCTAAAGGTTAAAATTTTGGCCAATTTTTGGCTAACAGTCAACATCTTTCCATTGTTGTCACCAGAAATATGTTTTTGTGTGAACTTTTTTAACGCCTAACGGTTAAACTTATGGCTGTTTTACGGCTAGCGGTTAACCCCATTGAGACCCTCTTAGAAAATCACCTTAAGACTAAAACAAGTTTGTCTTCTGGTGTCGAGAATAGTTGATGGAAGCAATCTTATTTTTGCAAAGGTGATCAAATGTTGCTTCAGACTGCATGTTTTTAATTTCACCGTCTTTGAATACCAACCACAACATCAGTCACGGCAATTTAACACCGTCTGCTTTGTAAGCCAATATTGCCTCTTAAATGAAGTTTTGGCAGATATTGATGTTAACGCCTCTTGTGAATGAAATGAAATTAACCTGGTTGAGTTTAGACCACTTGTGTTTGGGAGTTTTGAGGAGAGCATAATCGTGGGCGTCCAACACACTCGAAAGTTAAAATACACTGCTTTCATTCTGATTTCAGGCGACAAAAACCATGACGAAGAGGATATTTCTGTGTCTTTCACTTGTTGCGTTGGTGGACCAAATCATGGGTGAGTAGAAAATTAGTCAGCATAAAAAGCGAACTCGGAAAACTTAACGCCACTGGAATAAGCTCAGAAAAGAAGCCTCTAACTTGTACGTACAAAAACCTTTTCTTTGTTCCACTTCAGTTATACGAGCTAATATTTCTCTGGTAGAGCTCTTCCACGCTATTAATTTTTAATTTCACGCCTTTCTCCAGGGTTTCTTATCAAATTGATCAAGAACTCTGCAATAGGTTTTCCTTATAACTTGTAAGTTCGTCATTCGTTCA